ATTGGTGAATGTCACAAATTCTCCTAAATCACTCGTACGCACAACTTAAGAACAAATCTGTGCGTACGAACTGTTCTTGCATGAGGCCCAATGTTTGGAGGGGGTCCGCCTAAGTTACAGTCAAATGAACTGTTGTAGAATGAAATTAAGATAAACCATTAACTAGTTGATCAAGTTCTGTAGTCCAGTTTCAAAACTAAGACACATCAAACAAATTTCTGCAACTAAACAGCAACAATTATTTCATCTTTTAATGCTTTAACAACCGGGTCACACGGTTATGTGACTTACAACATAAACTTATTTTCCAAAATTGTATCACCCTATAAAACTACAAGAAGGGGTTTTTAATGGCACCAAAAACAGCGTGCACACAAAATCCAATGCGCACAATGTGACACACACACAGGTTTCCCACAACTTTGTCAACATCAAATTCAAGGACCTTTCAAGGACTTTCCAGTACCAATTTCCTCAAATTCAAGAACCACGCGCGACCTCCTGCTACCACAGTATGTTACCAATAAACAGTATTCTGTCCTCTCCCTGACTTTTCCCATTTTCACCAGCTAGACAGCCAGATAACGATGCTCCAATAAATAAACTTATTCTTCTTATTTTTGTGCTGATTTATTGAAGAATGGCCTCTGACCGTTGTCTTCTCATTGACCATCGTGAAACTGAAAAATACAAAACATGTTTTTAGCTAACTAATACAGTAAACTAGCTTGTTTCATGCTCACTGCAAGCTAACACAGTAGCATGTTCAAAATTAACATAACTGCACAAATTACAATACCGTTTTACACAAAATAGAGACAATTATCATTTTTGTCATAATCCATACTTAGGAACAAATCTTCTCAGAGGCAACAACATTTTAAAGTCAGTATCAACCTAATTACCTAATTTCCCTCTGGGATCAATAAAGTATTTTTGAATTTGAATTGAATTGAATTGAACCTAGCACATGAACACTCTGGTATAACCTTCCGCCATCTTGGATATTTGTTTTTTTTTTTCTTGCTGAGTAACCAAAACAATACTACAAGCAACCACCAGAGGGAGCTCTAGGGCAGTGTAACTTACAAAAGGCAGAACAAATAGGTTTACTTAAAATTATATATTTGTGAAATTTATTATTGGGGGGGTCCAATTTAGGGTTTTCTGATATTTACGCCCTTGTTGCTACATATTAAGAAATCTGAAGTTACGACTGATAAAATGTCGTCTGTGCAGCACTTGGACATCAGTGATGATAAACAGTTCACCTCCAACGTGGCCCGTCAGCTGCTGGAGCAGTCGGGGATCCTGCCTGCTCTCGTTTCCCTCGATGTCTCTGGAAGGAAGCAGGTTTGCCTGTGTCCCCGTCTCCTTCAAATATGAACTAAAACGTGGAGCACAACCTGAGTTTTCTCATACTGGTTGCAGGTGACAGATGCAGCTGTTCGGACTTTTGTTGAGGAGAGACCGGGGATGACCTTTGTGGGCCTTTTAGCCACCGATGCTGGTTTTTCTGACTTCCTCTCTGGAGAAGGGAATCTAAAGGTAAGGTTGGATACCTGTCACCTGACCTTTTGATCAAAGCATGAAAAGATTCTGATTTGTTGAGCTGCTGTCTGTTCGAACAGGTCACAGGAGAAGCTAACGAGAATCAGATCTGCGAAGCATTGCGACGGTACAGCGAGAGGGAGGGCTTTGTGAGAGAAGCTCTGTTTCACCTGTTCGGCCTGACTCACGTCATGGAGAAACCAAGACCTGACATCCTCAAAGTAAACTGCTCCTTTTTTCATTGTTTGCATTGTTAAAATGTTGTCATGCTTTACCTATAAGCATGACAACGTTTATATATGTTCAACAGGGGTGCAACAATACCCAAAGTTCATAAATTGGTTCGGTTTGATACTTTAGGCTCAAGGTTTGATATGTTTTTTCAGCGGTGGGCAGCACTAATTCAAAAATTAGCTCCGCAATTTCTAAAGCGCTTATGAAAATATTTAGGCCCGCAACTTCAAAACCGCTTATTTTGAACTCTTGTACAGCTCGTTTTACAACCGCCGAATGCTGGGGGTCTGATTTCCTCAAACAGAA